GCCTACGCACTGTGCTAAGTTCGCCTTATCTATGTTTGCTTATTTCCACCATTTTCACTTGTTAAGCCAACTACAATCAAGCGCACGCTATTCCGCTGCAATTCACTTGATCATGTGGTTGTTGGTATTTGTTGGTTTTTGCTAATAATTCTATTTTTAGAATGCTTAACTTTTAGGGTGCGTCGTCCTTAAGTTATTTGTTTTTGTTATTTTTTTGGCCTTATAACAATTATATTCTAACAATTTATATTGAGCTCGAGGCCGTTTTTTAAGTGAAAATTTATTGTTGAAAAGCAACAATAATTTGAAAAAATGGTAGAAGTGATAGCTGTTTCGGAAATCACCACATTTCCTCATCAGACTTATTTCTTCTTTTTTTTTGAAAAATAAAAGCGCAGGTTTATTCCTTATTAAATTCTACATTTGGTAGTAAGTTTTCAGCTTACTGTCGTTTTCGGCTGGGAGATATGCGTGTTCAAACTTGACATATTTGAATATTTTTTTTTTCCAAAACTGTGAAATTCAAATGCGCAATTCAGATTGTTACTGTTTTTGGTGTTTATGTGTTTTAAAAAAATTAATTTTCAAAATATTTTTTTTTTTAAATACCCAAAACGCTTTAAATTTGACAGTACTACAATAAAGTATGTTCCTTCCTTATTAAGAATTCGAGTTCAAAACCAAAAGCATTTTTTGCGCATTTTTAAATGAATTGGTTTCAAAAATTTCTCTTTGATTTTAATTAAACACAAAAACATATAATTCTGTTTAATTTTGATTCTGTTTCTTTTGGAACGTAAACTGTTTATTATTTTAAGGTTGATCAATGAATAAAAAGCGGATTTAGTTCTAACAAGTAATTTAAAAACTTTAGTGAGAAGCGGATTTAGATCGAACAAGGACTTTAAAGACTTCACACTATAGATCCCCTATAGTAGGAAAACGAGTCGCGCTGACAATTTAGAAGACGTTTGCTAGCAAGGCGAATTTATGCAAGGTGGTGTTGTCCAATCTGCTGATTTCTTCTTCTTTTCTTCGCCCTACATGTATTTTGTTTTTGCTTTTACTGATTTGACAGCATGCCCCTGAATAGCAACAACAAAATACATATAAACTTTGAGGCGAATTGAGATTTGACATTTTTCCCCTGATACAAAATACATGTGGTTGTTGTTTATTGTATTCTTGCTACCACCTTGTATAAATACGCCTTGATTGCTAGTTTCATCAGACCGGAGATTTTTCTTTTCTAAAGCAATGGAGTTACTTAGTAGAACTTGAATTGAATAATATTAGTTTAACGGAGCGTGGATGGGATTTAGATTCCGACTGTGAGGAATAAGTGTCACAGTTTTCTTTATATAGTGCTTATCATAACTATAAGACACCCACATATTGACAAAGCTAGGACTAATTTTTTATTATTAAATTTTAATTATTTTTGTTGTCGTTTCGTTAAATCTGGCTTGAAACAAATTGTTTATAATAATCTTTCTTTGTTTTACATTTATATTTGTTATCATTTCCTCATTTCTAAATATGGTTTAGTTTTTTCTAAATATGGTCACCTAAATTATAAAGGCGACCAAATGGGATCAGCTGTTTTCGCTACCGCTCTAAAGCTTAGTATCCAGCTCTTAAGAAAACGGTCAAGAAAAAATTGCCATTATTTCGCGTGTGTGTCNTATATATAAAAAAAAACATGTATAAATCCGTTCAGTAGCGTGGCTAAAATATCTGCCCTTTCCTTTATATTATGTGTAGAAGATAGTAATTTTAAATAGCTGGCAACCCTACTCAAAATACTTAAAGTTTTTGTACATGCGAAGGCCATGCACTTTCATTTGGCATTTAATTTTTTTATTCAACGAACGGTGAAGATCTTATAGATTTTAAACAGGTGGCAACCCTACTTAGAGAAGTAATACGTTATTACACATCCAGAGCCTATGACTTTTCATTTGACAGTGACGGCGCAGAACTGACGCCTACGCTTGTTAGTAATTTTCTTAACAGGTGGCAATCCTATTAAAATTCTAAATTAAAAAGATCACTCTCCTATCGATACAGAATATATTAGAGAAAAACTTGTCAAAATCCGTTCAGTAGTTTTCGAGATTACCGCGTACAAAGAATTTCGACATAATAAAACGTAATAAAACGCGAGGAAAGGCAGGTGGTATCGTCAAACGGTAAAAGTTATGTGACGAAAATTTTGCACAAGCGTGGGAAGCACTGCGGGCACGCTACGATAACAAACGAATGTTAGTCGACATTCAGTTGAAAACCTTATTCAACATACCAGCTGAAAATTCAGAAAATAGTGAGGCCATTCAGAGGGTCCAGACAACGATAACTGATTGCCTTTCCTCTCTGACCTCCCAAGTCGTTTCAGTTGCTAATTGGGATCCAATC